CCCCTCCTGATAACATGTCCAAAATATGTGAGACAAAGTCTCGCCATCCTTGCTTCTAAGGAACATTTTGGCTGTACTTCTTCCAAGACAGATTTGTTTGTTCTTCTTGCAGTCCATGGTATGTTCAATATTCTTCACCAGCACCATAATTCAAAGGCGTCAGTTCTTCTTCAGTCTTCCTTATTCATTGTCCAGCTTTCACATGCGTGTGAGGTGATTGAAAATACCATGGCTTGGGTCAGGCGCACCTTTTCCTCAAAGTGACATCTTTGCTTTTTAACACTTGAAAGAGGTCTTTTGCAGCAGATTTGTTCAATGCAATGCATCATTTGATTTCTTGACTGCTGCTTCCGTGGGCATTGATTGTGGATCCAAGTAAAATGAAATCCTTGACAACTTTGATATTTTTTCCATTTATCATGAAGCTGCTTATTGGTCCAGTTGTGAGGATTTTTGTTTTCTTTTTTGTTAATGTGTAATCCATACTGAAGGCTTTGATCTTCATCAGTAAGTGCTTCAAGTCCTCTACACTTTCAGGAAGCAAGGTTTTGTCATCTGCATATCTCACCTAAAGATTACAGCATATGAAATCCTATGGGGCAGTTCTACTTTGTCCTGTAGGGTTGCTGTGAATCAGAATCAACTCAACGGCATACAACAAATAATGACGTTGAGCATCTTTTCATGAGACTGTTGGCCATTTTCATACCCTCTTTGAAAAAAATGTCTTTTCAAGTCCTTTGCCCTTTTTTTTTTTTATTGAGTTGTTTGTCGTTTTGTTGTTCAGTTGTGGTAATTCTTTATATACTAAGGATATTAAATCTTTATCAGATATATGGTTCCCAAAAATTTTCTCCCTATCTGTAGGTTATCTCTTCACTTTGTTGATAAAGTCATTTGATATGCAAAAGGTTTTAATTTTGATGTAGTACAATTTATCTGTTTTGTCTTTTGCTGCTTGCCCTTTTCGTGTCATATCTAAGAATCCGTTGTTTAAAAGCTGTGTCCCGCATTCCAGTGGATTGGCCTAATACCATGTTCAGTGTTTCTGTTCTACCTCTTAGTTCATTGCATAGTGCCTGGGGTCTTAAAAGCTTGCAAGCAGCTATCCAGGGTACAACACTGGTCTCTATTCACCTGGAGCAACAGAGGAAGAAGGAGAGTCAGGAATAGGAGGAGGAAATGGAGTGTGTGGCTAATTGCCTCCATGAACAACTGCCTCTTTTGTCATGAGACCAGAGGAACTGGATGGTGCCTGGCTACCATTACTGAACATTTTGATCAAAGATTCTATAGAAGAACGCTGATTAAAAAGGAGAAAATACAGAACAGAATTTCAGATTCTCATGGAATCCAGATTTTATGGAGCCACGGAGGCTGGATGAACCCCTGAAACGATTGCCCTGAGATTTCATAATTTACCCAAATAATGTGCACTTTATAGTTTTTTTTGCCAACTGAACCCTCCCCCTCGAGGTATTTTTCTGATTGTGCTATGCTGATTTTTTATACAGCAACATGTATAAAAAAATTGGCATAGCGGGACTGCTGAAGATACCTTGCAGGAGGAGGGCATGGTTGGCAAACAAACATAGAAGGTGCGTGTTATTTGTGTAAAAATATGGTAATCTTTAAACCTTAAACCAAAAATAACCCCTGAAGTTTTCTTAAGATCAAACAGTAGTTTAGCTTAACTGGTAATAAATGTCTAACTTGAACAATATGCTCTTTTAGGACCTGTCTATATGAGATTAAATTGACAGCAACTCAAAAGATGAGGAGACAGTGAGTTTATGTTAATGGGAGAGGAACAGCTCGGAGAAAGAGGGTGAAAATGGTTGCACGACTCAAAGGATGTCACTGAATTGTACATGTAGAAACTGTTGAATTGCTGTATGTTTTGCTGTGTATATTCTCAAAAAAATAAAAAAATAAAAAAACTAGGTTCTTTTTTAGAAGAATTACCCATTTTTTTTCTAAAATTTTTATAGTTTTAGATCTCATTTAGGTCCTTGATCCACTCTGAATTCATATCTATACATACATATATATATATATATATATATAGTGTGAAGTATGGATCCAGCTTCATTTTTTGCATGTCTTAGCACACCATTTTTTAATAGAGACTCTTCTTTCCCCCACTGAATGGACTTAGCACTCATGTCAAAAATCAATTGACCATAAATATATTAATTTATTTCTGGACTCTAAGCTCTATTCCATTGGTCTATATGCTTATCATTATATCAATACCAGGCTGTTTTGATTACTGTAGCTTTATAGTATGTTTTGAAATCAGGAAGTGTGAGTCCTCCTACATTGTTCTTCTTTTTAAAGATTGCTTTGCCTATTCTGGGCCTCTTGTCATTCTATATAAATATGAGGATTGACTTTTCCATTTCTGCAGAGAAGAATGTTGGAATTTTGATCCCATGTTCTTTTGAGGCAGGAGAAACCACAGTCTCCTGTTTCTCCCAGACTAGCAATGAAGATGAGATTCTTATCCTCCCCTGCATAATAGGTCTCCCTTCTCTATCCTCTTGAGTCAATTTGGAGCCTTCTACCTTCAGAACTCTTATTCTTTCTGGTTTCCAACTTTTTTCCCTTCAAAACATTCCTCCCATCAGATGAGTAGATCTACTGAGTGCTTTTCATCTGTAGCCCCCAACCGTGGTATCCCCAGCTCTGTCCGTGCCTTTATAGAAACCATTGCTAACTGAACTGTCAATGGGGGGAAGGAAGGCCGAGGTGGGGAGAACACGGACCACAGAATTACATTTTTTTCATCTTCTATCCTCATTTTTCTTTAATACACAATGTGGCAATCCAAGCACAGTTAGAATGCAGCATCGCTGCCTGATAGAAGGGCTGTGGGTCAGTTGCCTTTTATCAACTGTTACATTTGTCTCCCTGGAGACCATCTATCATGCGTTCCACCTTGTTCAAATGGTCGTTTTATATCAAACTTGGTGGGAAATGGACCTTCTTAAACTGCTGGTGTCTAAGTGGTGCAAATGGTTAACGCTCTCTGCTACTAACTGAAAGATTGGAGGTTTGAGTCCACCCAGAGGCACCTCGGAAGAAAGGTGTGACAATCTGCTTTTGAAAAATCACCCACTGAAAGCCCTATGGAGCACAGTTCTACTCTGACACTCATGGGGTCGCCAGGAGACAGAGTCCACTCCACGGTGACCAGATAAACTGCTAATGTGCAATAAGATGCTGCATTTTAGTAAATATGTGACTTAAGTTGGTTTAGTTCATTGCCTGAAACATCATAGCTCATAATGCGCCAACTGGATTTCCCATTTGTGTCACTGAAGAGTTATTTGAAAAACACAAAGGGAAAAACAGCTCTTTAGAAACAATGGAAGGAAGAAAGTTAATTGAATTTAAATTAGCCATATCAGTAATTTAAAACATAATTGAAAGTTCCAAAGGAGACTGTCATGCATTCATATGTCATAAGGAGGTTTCTCTTGGATAAAATCATCGAATGTTAAATTTGTTGATACATAGTATTGTCTCACATTCAATTTCCTTACGAATGTCAAACACTTTTCGGATGAGAATACGCATCGATTTTCCTGTGTTTAGAAATTCCTTGAATGAAAGATATAAATTCCACTTCCAGTTAATCTGAAAAAGAATTAAAAATTTGACTATGTCTTTCTGGTTCGATACTATCATTATACTTGCTGGACTTCATTCAGAGCCTGTCCTAAAAGCAACTCTGAATTGCTATAGGATCCTCAGATAGACTGTATTAGGAGAATCACTACCTTATTTTCTTTATTTTTGATGAGATGCCTTTTCTAATTTTCCTACAATGAACTTATGTGGCCTTGATTATAAAACAAATTGGTTTTTATTTTAAAATATGTTTTATCTGAGTTGGCTCAACTTAAGAGGCAAAGCCAAGAACATCATCATTATAGCTTCTTAGAAAATCGTCCTGCAGAACAACCAGAGTGGTATTATGTGTGTCTCCCTCCTGATCATCTAACACTGTCTTCAGGAGAGAAGATGCACACACCTCGTAGGTCATCACTAGGAAGCCTGGTGCCGCAGTGGTGAAGCTCTTGGCTGCTAACCAAAAGGTTGGCAGTTCGATCCCACCAGCTAAGCAGGAGAAGGATGTGGCAGTCTGCTTCCGTAAAGATTTACAGCCTTGGAAAATGCTATGGAGCAGTACTACTCTGTCCTATATGGTTGCTATGAGCTGGAGTCAATCAGACGACAGTGGGTTTGGTTTGGGTTTTAGGTCATCCCTGGCCATGTCTGCTCTGATGGTTCATGCAGGGGTCTCTAGCCTCCTGTGTATCCCGTCTCTTCTCTTTCTCTGCAACTCCATCCACATTTCAAACACTCTCCCACCAACCCCTTGCCATCAAGTCGATTCCGACTCATGTTGCAGAGTAGAACTGCTCCATAGAGCTTTCTTGGCTGTAATCTTTATGGAAGCAGATTGCCAGGCCTTTCTTCCACAGTGCCACTGGATAGGGTCAAACACTAATCTTTAGGCTAACAGTAAAGCAGAAACCACTTGCGCCGCCCGGGGACCTTCAGTCCCTGCTAACCACCTTGTATAGCTTTGAACGCTCGAACCTCACATCATCACTTTCATTCCTGATCTCTAACTTCAGCGTCAAATTAATCCCTTTACCCTTGCTGTGAGGCATGTGAGTTGCAAATAAATCTTCCTTTGGCACTTGGAGATATCGATCTTAACTGAAACATTGTGTGAAATTAGAATTCTTATGTCTTATTCTGTGCTGCTGCCACCATCAGGAAACGCTCTCCTAAATGATCACCTCTAAGATAAGAAATGAGACTTTATTGCCTGGTAGACTTTGTCTTTCAGGCCTGGACATCTGAGTTTTAAAACATTGATTACCCTTGATGACACGGGTTTTAAGACTACTGGCATTTCCAGCACATTTATATGGCATCTTGGCCAAAATTAATTTCCTCTTTTCCTCCTTCTCTCTCAACAGCTCTGAGCAGCGAGTCCCCTGTTCCACTTCTTACCACAGCTCTGGTTTGCACTCGAGTGATGGTGTCACAAAGGCAGGACCTCTGGGCCTTCCGGAAATAAGACAAGTGCCAACTGTTGTGATTGAATGTGATGACAATAAAGAAAATGTGCCTCATGAGTCAGACTATGAAGACTCTTCTTGCCTGTACACAAGAGAAGAGGAGGAAGAGGATGAGGATGATGACAGCTCGCTGTATACCAGTACGTTCCTCCAGCCTCTTCATGGGGAAAGCATGGTTATATGCTGAGAGCTGACCTGAAATCCGGGCTCTAACCCTGGGTCTGGTGTTAACTGGCCCTGGGTCATAGGGTGGCCTAATTGACCTCTTTGAGCCTCAGGGTTTTCCTCTGTAAGACGAAGGGGTAAATGCTGTGTAAATGCTGTCACAGCTCTAAACATTGCAATACCATGCTACCATCGTCTGCCTCTCAAGGGGGTTCTTTCTTTCTTTGATTTCTTCCCTTGGGATGCAAACCCACCCCTTTCAAAAAAAAAAAGGGAGAAGAAAAGGCCTAAAAGTTTGTTCTGGTCCAGAAAACACTCAGAAATACTAACCATTGTGTATGCAACAAATTCACTTTTAAGCATACCTCAGCAGCTTTAGAAGGGCTGAATTTAAATTCCTTATTGAAGGCCTTTAAAATGTGCTGAGAAACGAGAGGAAATGAAGAAAGCAAAGTTCAGAATCACCTCATTCTGGCCAAGAATAATGAATAAATTTTAGTTATATGAATACAGCCTGGTATTTGGTCAACTTTTTAGTAAATGAATCTATAATAATAGCAACTATTTAGTGACTGTGAAGTCCCTGAGTGGTATAAATAGTTAACATGCTCAGCTGCTAACCAAAAGGTTGGAGATTCAAGTCCACCCAGAGGCACCCAAAAGAAAGACCTGGCAATCCAAATAATCAGCCATTGAAAACCCTGTGGAGTACGGTTCTACTCTGGTTCACATGGGGTCGCTAAAAGCTGGAGTTGACTCGATGGTAACTGGAACAAATATATGCTGTGTGCCTGGCAATATGTGGAGATTTTATTCTCTTATCTGTATAACAATCCTTTGGCGTAGATACTGTGACCCCGTTTTACAGATTACAGGAAGAAATGCAGAGGTAAGTCTTAACTTGCCCAGAGTCTCACGCCTACCGAGCGGCAGTGTTGGGATTCGATGGCAGATTTGTCTGATTCTAACGCCCATGTTTTCAGACTAGTGGAGGGAGGAGGAGGGTTCCCCAAACACGCTGCTTTCCAGTCTTTTCCTCTCACTTTGTACTCACCAGACTGCAGAGAGCTAGCTCTGTTGGAGACCTGGTAGGTGCACTGGCACGAGTGAGCAGTGAAATGATCCAGGTGATGCAGAGAGGACCATGGACGGGCAGCCAAAGGCCACATAAGCCCGAACAGGAGGAGCTGCTCAGCTCTCTTCACCATTGTGCCCGGATAATTATTAAACTCTTTACACCAGTTTGTCTCAAACTCGGCACTGTTGTCATTTTGGATCCCTGTTGTAGGGAGGTGTCCTGTGCATTGTAGGATGGTTAGCAGCATCCCTGGCCTCTACCCACTCAATGCCAGTAGGAACCCTCCCTTCCCAGTTATGACAATCAACAATGTCTCCAGACATTGCCAGATGCCCCCTAGGGGCACCCCTCTCCACGTCAGTTGAGAAACATGGATTTATACATAAGGAAACCCCGCCCTGACTGCTTAGAACCTCTCCTATTAAAAAAGAAACAATCCCAGAAGAATATTGCCCATTTCAAAGACCTCCCCTTTACTCCCAATCGCAAACTGGCCTCACTTTGCCCAACTTTATTTTCCTTCACATAGCGCCAGCTCCGATGTAGCTGATCTTTCTGTCTCCTGAGATTAGCCGGCTTATCTGTCACCTCTGAGCCTCCTGCAGATGCAGATCACTGCCAGCAAATGCCCTTCCTTATTCCTGATGCCTGGTAGAATCTCATCCATCCTCCAGGAGTCTGCTCAAGGTCCCACTCCTCCAGGCAGCTTCCCATGGTTACCGAAGGCTTCTGTCCTTTCTCTCATCTCTGCACTCCATTGCATTCCTTGGCCACTCCTGCCCACCCTTGGGGAGTGGCCCACATGCTAGAGCAGTTATGGCCCACATGCTTCTCCATTTATCATGATGTTGCTTATTAGTCCAGTTGTGATGATTTGTGTTTTCTTTATGTTGAGGTGTAATCCATACTGAAGGCTGTAGTCTTTGATCTTCATCAGTAAGTGCTTCAAGTCCTCTTCGCTTTCAGCAAGCAAGGTTGTGTCATCTGCATATCACAGGTTGTTAATGAGGTTTCTTCCAATCCTGATACCAAGTTCTTCTTCATATAGTCCAGCTTCTTTGATTGTTAGAAGAATATGTGTGTGGTTGAGTACACGAACTCTACCCAAGTGCAAATGGTTAACATGCTCAGCTGTTAACTGAAAGGTTGGGGGTTCAAATCCACCCAGAGGCACCTTGGAAGAAAGGCCTGGCAACTTACTTCTTAAAAATCAGCCACTGAAAGCCCTACGGAGCATGGTTCTAATCTGACACTCACGGGGTTGCCATGAGTTAGTGTTGACTGTATGGCTACTGTTTTTTTCGTTACTGTCAGGTACTAAGCCCTTGGTGCCTTTCTTCCTGCCTTTACCTTGTAGCCCCCTGTTGGGCTGTTGGGAGCCCAGGCAGATGTGTGTGCGTATAACTTGACTTGTTTCTCCCTCCCACAGGCTCCCTGGCCATGAAGGTGTGCAGGAAGGACTCCTTAGCCATCAAGCTCAGCAACAGGCCCTCCAAGCGAGAGCTGGAAGAAAAGAACATTCTCCCCAGGCACACGGATGAGGAGAGGCTGGAGCTGCGGCAGCAGATTGGCACCAAGCTCACCAGGTAGGATAGCAGCATTTCCTGCTTCTACTGACAGCAGAGCCAGCAGCTCTACACATCTGAAAAGAATCCCATCTCCATCCCCCAATCAGTCCTGGGTCTTTTGTTCGTTTGTTTGTTCCAAGAAATCAACTATTTTATCTTGCAAAATAATTTCCAAAGAGTTTATTTCCTTGTGACAAAGCCCCTGGCATCTTGAGCCAGATGGCGGGGACTGTGCCTAAAAAAAAGAAGGGCACAAAGGGTGTTTAACACGGGCCCAGGACAAGATTGCACAGAGTTCACAAATCAGGCGGATTGGCCATATCAGCCCCCCAAGTTCTTCTTGGAGGTAGTAAGAGCCAGTGATTCACATCCAAGGAATATTAAGAATTGTTCTCTTTAGAATGAGAACCCAGCCACATCTTGCAGGCACTCATTTATACTGAAGGCAGAGGCCGAGTGAAGGGGAATCTAAGAACCAGAAGGTGACTGGTCGGGAGAGAGAGCTCTTCTGGGCTCAGGAGCCTTGGGTTCTAGCTCTGGTCCTGCTGGCGTTTCCTAGGCAAGTCATGTGTCCTCCCTGCGCCTTAACCTCCTAACCTGGGGGCAGTAGACTAGGCCGTCTAATCCCTGTGAGCAGAATGTGCATTTCCTTATCATGAAAAATAGCTAAGAGAACGTGAAAACCTGTCATAGAGTCTGTATTTCTGGAGCCGGGAGGATGTGGCATTTCCTGGTTATTTGAAGTGGCCTAATATGCTGGTAATCTTAAGCTCTTTGAAAAGTATGTGGACAAGTCTGCAGTCCTCAGAGAGTAGGCAAGATACAAGACCAAATTGTGGGCTGACATTTTAATAACATCAAAAAAAAAAAAAAAAAAAAACTTGCAACACTCCAGGAATAATCTCACATTTGAGGGGGAAGAGGTAGAAACACCAAGTTAAATGGTTTCAATTATTTGTAAAACCTCCCAGCATTAAGACAGAGTTGCCATATAAAAAATGCAAGACTTATTGTTCTTCTGGAAATGCTGTATCACTTGATGCTATTGGACTCAATCAACAACTCTTGTGTAAGTAGCTATTTCAAACAATTGCATTTGAGAACCATGAGCTGCCCTCAGCACTAGTACGTCATCAACATAGTGTATGTTACCTCTACCCCTTTTGCTTACGACTTCAGATGGAGATACATGCATCCAAGGGGTGAACAAGACCATCCCTTAGGGTATGGGAAGAAAACAGTACAGCTTCTATTTAAACTTAGTTTATGTCATTCTTTCTAAGTTTATTATTTTTGTTCAAAGATATGATCTGTACATGGTATACAAGTCCAGTCGTAGTTGCTGTTGTTAGCTGCCATCAGGTAGACCCCCAACTCATGGCAACCCCGTGCACAATGGGAAGAAACCCTGCCTGGCTCTGAGCCATCCCCATGATAGGTTGCAGGTCAGACCCTTGTGATGCATAGGGTTTTCGTTGGCTGATTTTCAGAAGTAGATTGCCAGGCCTTTCTTCCTAGTCCATCTTAGTCTGCAAGCTCAGTTGAAACCTGCTCAGCATCCTAGCAACATGCACGCCTCCACTGACAGACGGGTGGTGGCTGCACATGAGGTGCATTAGCTGTAACCTGGATCTCCGGCATCAAAGGTGATAATTCTACCACTGAACCATATATAATCTTTATATAATTTATAAATAGTGAAAGTCGATTTTAGGTGCCATCCAGTCAGTCCTAACTCGTAGCGACCCTACGTACAACAGAACAAAACACTGCCCAGCCCTGCACCATCCTCACGATTGTTGTTATGCTTGAGCCCATTGTTGTGGCCACTGTGTCAGTCCATCTCATTGAGGGTCTTCCTCTTTTTCACTGACCCTCTACTTTACCAAGCACGACGTCTTTCTCCAGGGACTGGTCCCTCCTGATAACATGTCCAAAGCATATAAGACGAATTCTCGCCATCCTTGCTTCTAATGAGCATTCTGGCTGTAGTTTTTCTAAGACAAATTGGTTTGTTCTTCTAGCAGTCCACGGTATATTCAATATTCTTCGCCAACACCATAATTCAAAGACATCAACTCTTCTTTGGTCTTCCTTATTCTTGCCCAGCTTTTGCATGCATGTGAGGTGATTGAAAACACCATGGCTTGGGTCAGGTGCACCTTAGTCTGTAAAGTGACATCTTTTCTTTTTAACACTTTAAAGAGGTCTTTTGCAGCAGATTTGCCTAATGCAATGCATTGATTGATTTCTTGACTGCTGTTTCCATGGGTGTTGCTTGTGGATCCAAGTAAAATGAAATCCTTGACAACTTCAATAGTTTCTCCGTTTATCATGATGTTGCTTATTGGTCCAGTTGTGAGGATTTTTGTTTTCTTTATATTGAGGTGTAATCCAAACTGAAGGCTGTAGTCTTTGATCTTCATCAGTAAGTGCTTCAAGTCCTGTTCACTTTCAGCAAGCAAGGTTGTGTCATCTGCATATCGCAGGTTGTTAATGAGGTTTCTTCCAGTTGTGATACCAAGTTCTTCTTTGTATAGTCCAGCTTCTTGGATTATTTGCTCAGCATACAGACTGAATAAGTATAGTGAAAGGATACAGCCCTGACACACACCTTTCCTGACTCTAAACCACACAGTATCCCCTTGTTCTGTCTGAACAACTGCCTCTTGATCTATGTACAAGTTCCTCATGAGCACAATTAAGTGTTCTGGAATTCTCATTCTTCACAGTGTTATCCATAGTTTGTTATGATCCACATAGTCGAATGCTTTTGCATAGTCAATAAAACACAGGTAAACATCTTTCTGGTATTCTCTGCTTTCGGCCAGGATCCATCTGACATCAGCAATGATATCCCTTGTTCCATGTCCTCTTCTGAATCTGGCTTGAATTTCTGGCAGTTCTCTGTCAATGCACTGCTGCAACCATTTTTGAATGATCTTCAGCAAAATTTTACTTGTGTGTAATATTAATGATACTGTGCAATAATTTCCACATTTTGTTGGATCACCTTTCTTTGAAGTAGGTACAAATATGGATCTTTTTCAGTCAGTTGGCCAGGTAGCTGTCTTCCAAATTTCTTGGCATAGACAAGTGAGCGCTTCCAGCACTGCATCCGTTTGTTGAAACATCTCAATTGGTATTCCTGGAGCCTTGTTTTTCGCCAGGGCCTTCAGTGCAGCTAGGACCTCTTCCTTCAGTACCATTGGTTCCTGACCATATGCTACCTCCTGAAATGGTTGAACGCCGACGAATTCTTTTTGATACAGTGACTCTGTGTATTCATCCCACCCTCTTTTGATTCTTCCTGCATCATGTAATATTTTCTCCATAGAATCCTTCAGTATTGCAGCTGGAAGCTTGAATACTTTCTTCCATTTTTTCAGCTTGAGAAATGCTGACCATGTTCTTCCCTTTTGGTTTTCTATTTCCAGGTCTTTGCACATGTCATTGGAATACTTTACTTTCTGTTCTCTCCCTTTGAAGTCTTCTATTCGGCTCTTTGACTTCATCATTTCTTCCTTTTGCTTTAGCTACTTAACCTACGTTCAAGAGCAAATTTCAGACTGCCTTCTGACATCCATTTTGGTCTTTTCTTTCTTTTCTGTCTTTTTAATGACCTCTTTCTTTCTTCATGCATGTTGTCCTTGATGTCATTCTACAGCTTGTCAGATCTTCAGTCAGTAGTGTTCAACGCATCAAATCTATTCTTGAGATGGTCTCTAAATTCAGGTGGGATATACTCAAGGTCATACTTTGACTCTCGTGGATTTGTTCTAATTTTCTTCAATTTCAACTTGAACTTGCATATAAGCAATTGATTGTCTGTTCCACAGTCGGCTCCTGGCCTTGTTCTGACTGATGATATTGAAGCTTTTCCATCATCTCTTCCCACAGATGGAGTCAGTTTGATTCCTGTGTATTCCATCTGGCAAGGTCCATGTGCATAGTCGCCATTTATGTTGTTGAAAAAAGGTATTTGCAGTGAAGAAGTCATTGGTCTTGCAAAATTATATCATGCGATCTCAGGCATCATTTCTATCCCCAGGCCATATTTCCCAACTACTGTCCCTTCTTCTTTGTTTCCAACTTTCGCATTCCAATCGCCAGTAATTATCTATGCATCTTGATTGTATGTTTGATCAATTTCAGATTGCAGAAGTTGGTATAAATCGTCCATTTCTTCATCTTTTGCTTTAGTGGTTGGTGCATAAATTTGAATAATAGTCATATTACTGGTCTTCCTTGTAGGCATATGGATAGTATCCTATCACTGACGGCATTGTACTTCAGGATAGATCTTGAACTGTTTTTTTAATAATGAAAGTATTTGTATACAATTTATAAATAATGAGATGGCATGGATTGGGGTAATGCTTAGATTTTTTGTTGATGGAATTCTCTAAAAAGCTTAGAGCCCACTGGTCTGGGGATCACTCCAGGGTAGCTGCTGCTCAGCTCTATGTGAGCAGGTCTTTTCCTCTCCAGTAACCTCCAGTCAGTGGAAATACAGAGACCTCAGGACCATCCCACACCCCACCACAGCACCCAGTGCAAGATCATGCTGCTTTGTCTCTGAGTCTTTTCTCAGGGCCCCTAACCTGAACCTTAGGAAGTAGTCAGCATAAGTATGGGATCTTAGTTATCAGAATCTGTTATGGATTGAATTTTGTCCCCAAAAACGTGCGTCAACTTGGCTAGGCCGTGATATCCAGTATTGTGTTATTGTCCACCATTTTGTCATATGATATGATTTTCCTGTGTGTTGTCAATCATACCTCTATGATGTTAATGAGGCAGGATTAAAAGCAGTTATGTTAATGGGGCAGGACTCAATCGACAAGATTAGGTTGTATCTTGAGTCAGTCTCTTTTGAGATGTAAAAGAGAGAAGCGAGCAGAGAGACAGGGAGACCTCACACCACCGAGAAGGTAGTGCCTACTCTCCAAGGTGGTTGTGAGAATCTGCAGTAGCGTATGGGAAGCACCTATTGCAGTGTCTGGCACATGATAGAT